AATTTCGAACATTTCTTTATTTTTGCAAACTGCTTTGTTAGTACTTTCACACTGTGATCGTAAATTAGAGTAAAAAAAAAAAGGAAAAAATCGTATGTAGAAACCGAGAGAGCGTGCAATTTAATACAGACACGTAAACGATATACATACATCTATTAGATTAAAATGTAAAGGCTAATATGCATATGAAACTCGGTAACTAATTATAGTTATACGATTTCATATCGGTATGCATTACTGCACACAGAAATTCGAATTTAATTAATTTTCTTATATATATATATATATATATATATATAGATAGATAGAGAGAGAGAGAGAGATATGTATGTGTGTGTGTGTCTTTCGTTCAACAACACAGACACAAATATGTCATATATATATATATATACACACACGCGCATGAGTCATGAGACTTATGAAAAAATTCAAACAATGTTTAATTTACAAATTTCGGAATATGATTTCGAATATATGTACACATACTGGGATATCTCGGTACATATGAACAGATTAGAATAGAATATAATATTGTCTTGAAAAAAAAAATCGTAGCGAAGTGTGGAACAATTTCAAAGACAGTTATTAAAATCTGTTCAGTCAACCATGTATGTTTTTGTTCAAGTGAATTAGAACATCTTCGAAGCAGATTCGGGATCTTGCTAGATCTTGGCATCTTTTTGCTGTGATTAAGCGGTCGAAGTTTATGTTACAAACTTCCAGATAATTGAGAGTATTCACATTAAGAGTAGATTTAGGGAAGAAAATCTGATAATACGAAGGCGTATGATCGGTTAAGTGGAACGGTGTCGTTAGGATAAACTAGCTCATTTCTGTCAATTACTTCCTGTTCTATAAAGAGACTGTGGTGTGGTGTTGTCTTGGTGGAAGACGATACCCTTTAGATTGGCCAATTTTGAAGGCATTTCATTGATTCCTGCCTTTAATCAGTCCAACTGAAATCAATACTAGTCCGAACACGTCTAACTTTTTTTGTAGGGCTTCGTAGTAGATACTGCACTTTCAGTGGTATTAAGAATACAAACGCCATTTTCCTGTGCATATCGACATTTACAGCGGTTAACGGTGACGTCTTTTCTTTTCCCCGGTATTATTTTGTTTCCAAATATTTAACTAAATATTTTTATTCGCCTGTGAAAAATACTCGTTTTAAAATAGTCGTTGTGCGTATTAAAAGTGATGTGGTGTTTCATCATTTACTAAATTCTATCTTACACTATACTGAAAAACTGAATTTGTCTTTGTTCAAATCTGAAGATATTTCGATTTAAGTGCCTATATGCCAACAGAAGCAGCTCCACACAAATACGCAACATAAACACTCTCATATTTGTTTACACCCAAGTGCACATCCAATGATATTAATATGTCAATTTGTCTCTCAATTACGAACTTCAAAATCGCGCGTTTGCAGTTACATGTGGGCAGAAAATTCTACTGAATTTTCATGCTGTTTTTGTTTCTTATACAATTATCTGCATTGAAATCAAACAAAGTCAAGAGTTATGTTTTCTTTTGTAAATTCCCGATAATATTCTTTCGCCAACAGTTAATCATTTCCAAATGTTTGGAAATTCGTAGAAATGATTTCAATATGGTTTTTATTTTATAGCCTGTGGGTTTGCTGGATTTTTATATACTATTCACAAGCAATAAGGAAGTTAAGTTTATTTTCATGTACGCATATATATATATATATATATATATATATATATATATATATATATATATACCCTCATTATATTTTATGGAGTAAAAACTGAAAAATTTTGGCTTACTTACATTTTGCCTGTTTACATAGGAAACTAATTGGATGCAGTAAAAAGTTGAAAATTTTGCCAACCAGGAAAATGAAACTTACCTAAAAATATAAAGAGAAAAAAAAAACATTGTAAATAAATCAATTCAGAAAACGTTGACGTTTAAATAATGAATCATTTTACTGAATAAAATAATTGTCATGAATATTAAACGAATAAATATGCAGATGAAAGAAATAGCTCTATGCCCTCGCAATCCTTTTTCAATCTGACTATATATTTCTAAGGAATTAACGGGACTTACACTTACAAGTTTGACGCAGTTTCTAAACCTGCCAGAAGGCATAGCTTCTTTATTAAAACTCTCGAATGTACAGAATGCCTACTCAAATATGTATATGCAATAAATCTCACTTTTTTACAGAGACATATATGAGAAGATAAATAAGAAATAGGAAACATAAGAATGTAACATGTTTCACATTTCTTAAAGCCACTGAAGTCTCTGACGAAGCTTTAATAAAAGCGAAACATTAAATTGATAAAAGTTTCTTATTTTATATATATATATATATATATATATATATATATATATATGCACGTTACGTTAAATGTGACAAACAAGGTGCTTTGATTTATTATGTTTTTATTATTTCACATGTAATATTGTTTTTTTTCCTTTCGGTAAAAAATTACATAAACACTGTCCAATTTTATTTTTTCCGAGCGTTTTCGGCTATACATTTAGCCATTTCCAAGGTTGAAGTATATTAACTGTTAACAAGAAATAGATAGATGTATGCATGTATTTATATAAATGTTTTAATTTCCAAAAAAAACTATCAAGATATTGTGTCTGTGTTTTTTTACATGTATACGTTGCTATTATATTTTTGTTATCAAAAAGTATGTTAAGATTAGGGTCCAATAGTACTCCATGATTATTCAAATGAGACCTAATTGAGCTAGAGCCAGAAATACGTAGTGTGACTATTCTTGTCAAACACGTTGTAGTGTGGCCTATATAACTATTTACGAATTTTGATTGATCAGAAATACAATACCATAATGGACATTATATTCGTATCCATTCCATTTAATTTTTCTGTCATATTCAATGAAAAGTGCATGAAAGAAATATTTCTGCCAAAATGCGCACACACACACATATATATATATATATATAAAAGCAAATATATGAATATAGATCCGACAGTATGAAGAAAAATATACCGAAAAAACAATCAAAAATCCTAATATGCGATTATCCTATTTTAATGCTGTCCAACGTTTACATTAAACATTAAAAGAGCATAATCGCATATTAGGATTTTTGTTTGTTTTTTCAGTATATTTTTCTTTATATATATATATATGCAGCACACCTTCATGTTTCATTGCATGATATAAGCATATTGCGTATTTTTCCACGGATCCTTTACGGTTCTCTGATCAGTTTCTTGAAGTTAAGATTCAAAGAAAGAACCGTAGCTTTTTCTAACCTAAGTAATTATGGGGTGTATTACAAAAACAAACATATTGTAACTGCGATAAAATATGCATTCTGATGTGCTGGTTATTTTTTTTATTTATTTATTTTATTTTTTTTTTTTAAACACGTGGGAAACAAAAATTCAGTAGAATTTTCTGCCCTCATGTAATTGCAAACGCGAGATCTTGAAGTGCGAGTGTGTGTGGAAATATTTTCAGCATAGTATTTTGAGGTTTGCTATATTTATGCGTAAAAGAGTTAAATACCAAAGATAGAGCGCATGAAAATATAGAAGTGGGCACTGATTTTTAACACAAACCTGCGACACTTTCACACTTCAACGCAATTTTCAGGCCATGTGTATTGTGTTTTGACTCGACTATTTATATATGTTGGGCAATGGGCATTATAATGATTATTAACTGATATTAAAGAGAATAGTGTGCGGAAACACATACCCTTTAAATATGTTAACTCGGTTTTGAATTGAGAGACCAGGCTGCTCTTCAATTCGCCCGTAGCTAATGAGCGAAGTGAAATTATTAAAATCATACATTATGGATTCTGAACTCAGCAAACTTGACATGTAAAACAAGCTATATAAGTAGGTACATTCAATCAATTTTTCGATATTTTAAAAATGAAAAAGTATTCTGAAAGAGACTGGAGTCCGTATATGTTTTATTTTAGCTTTAATTGAACATTATTATTTACAGTAAGTAAAACATTCTGGTGTATTTCAGATAGAAATTATATAGATTGGAATGTCAAATATATGCTCGATTTTCTTTTAAATTTCTTAAAAGAGGGAATTTTCTTAAATTTTAAAAAATATGTAAACAAAAAAATCGATTTTAAACGTCGAAAAAAGCGCAAAATATTGTTTTTCTCTTTTCGAACGCTGTCGTAAAAAAAGGAAAAAGAAAAAAGAAGATTTTCAACGTACGAGAAAGGAGTAAAAAATTTCAAAACATAATAAAACATTTTGATGACAGAACTTTGTGTTTGTTGACTTATGGACCTTTTTTCATCATGCTATGCTGCTTTTTTACGTGACCTAGTGGAGGTACCTATAAGTAATGTTGGAATTCATAAATTCAAAACAACAGTATAAACCAGTATCATTAAATTTTTCTTCGCTATTTAACATTAAATTATGTTATATACATCATTTTGTTTGTTTGTGTAAAGTTGCAAAGAAGCGTTCACTTCAAAGAGGGGCAACCGCTTGTTTCATGTGTATTTGATCCCGATTAATTTTGCCACAAACAATTTTGTTTTTTTGTATCGTAACTCCTTGCTTGCACTATATATTAGTACTACTACTACTGTACTGACTACTGTACTACTGTACTGTACTGACTACTGTACTACTGTACTGTACTGTACTGATGCGACATTCACCCTGGGCGGATTGAGCCGGCTTCTTCCTGTTATGAGAAGAAGATTCTTGGGATAAATTACAGAAGTAGGGTACCCAGGCCTACTCGGATAACGTTCTTGCTTGCCGCGGGGTTCCCACAGACAGGAACGACCAGAAGCCGCCGGTTGCCGATGGAGACGCTCCTTGGATTTTCACCAGAGCCCTTGTTAGCCGGCGTGTGTGTCAGACCTGTCCGCCTTGGGTGGTCCTACCAGGAACGAAGTTCCGGGCGGCATAGCTCTGACACTACCGTTTACCCCCCCCCCCGCCAACCGACAGTGAGTTAAGGGTTGGACTTTGGGGGCTTACAGTACCAGGTGTTCCCAAGCGGTCCCCCATCTAAGTACTGACCTGGCTCTACGATGCTTAACTTCGGTGATCGAACGAGAACCGGTGTTTTAGCGTGATTTAACCTATATATACCGGTGTTTTAGCGTGATTTAACCTATATATTAGTCATAACTTCTTAATTGGTTCACCAAATTGAGCAATTTTTATGACAATTAGGTCACGTCAAAACATCTTCAATTTTATTGATATGCCCTTGTGTTTATATTAGAAATAAACTGCCAATGTATGCCCCTAGTCCTACGCAGAAGCAGAGGATGGTTCTAGGATGACCGATTATGTACATAGCAAAAGCTAACTTTCCTTCTTGAAAACTAATATAAGAAATATCTTATTCTCATAAGGAGTCGAAACATCAAATTCTCTTGAACAACGTAGGCCAACTTCAAAATTTTCACCGAATTTGGAATTGGTTAATTCGCGTTGGTGATAAAGTATCACGCGTAAGGATTGATCTACCTACAATAGAGCAAGACTAGACAAATTTAGATGGCGTTTCTTGAGCAACCTTTGTTGCAATCGATCACATCTCAGATTGGTCGAAATGCTCTATGTAGATTGTATACCCCAATACATTTGGCAGCATGACATTTGCTTTTGATAGGAATATATTTTACTGTATCTTATTTCTGAATGATTTCACCGCCAATGGTTATATTTCGATTTTAGGACATGTCTCAACCACCGTTTATTTTTCTAGTTAGCACATATTACTTCGCCAGCGGTTATTTGCCTATTTAAAGGCATATGTTGTAAACATGACATTTGTTTATATCAGTGGCTGTTTATCTTCTTAGGACATATGCCTATTCTCAGTGTCGACATCTACATATTTGTCTGATATTCATAACAAAATGGATTAACCTTTGTAACTGACAGTTTTATGAGAAAAAGAATATAGACGTAAGTAGGCTTATGTTAAGATGCCTTCGCCAAACAAACTGATGGACTCTTACAAAGACCACACAGAAATCTTCAGATTGTCTCGTTCGACACGTGAAAGAAATGCCTTCAATAAATGTATAAGTACTTTAAAAAATGAGTTATTTGCTCGGGAGAAAATAATATTTTAATTGATAATTCTACATATGTTAGATCTAATTAAATTCTGTCATGAAAACCATCTAAGAAAGAGATGTGTATTACGCAAGGCGACAAAGGTATATGTATTACGCAAGGCGACAAATGTGTGTGTGTGTGTGTGTGTGCATATATATATATATATAGCGTAAAAATGTTTATTACCTAAAAATAGATATGCATTACGAAAACTAAAAAAATGGATATGTATTACGTAAAATAAGCAAATGGATATGTATTACTTAAAACAAGTGTTACGCAAAAAAGACAAATGGATAAGTCTTAGGTAAATAGCTATATGGAAAGCGTAGAAGAATATAGAAATAATCATTCTCGTCACGAAAATTCTCGATTATATAGCTGCTATTGCAAAGAGATTGTTTACGAAAGATATGACATTACATAGATATACAAGTATCTAAAAAGATATCACGAAACTTAGAGAAATTGAAACAGATGGAGACTTACATCAACATACAGATATATAAAGTTTTGAAATGAACAGAAAGAAATATATTATGTAAAGTATGATAGATAGGTGTGAACAGCCCTACGTATAGAGATATAATGTGAGAGCTTTAAATAAGAGACTGCAGTCCGTATATGTTTGCGGGTGTAAAAATTTAGATACAAATACAACATATCTTTAAAAAGGCAAGATGAATATTGACAAAATGAAAACTTTTCTTTACAAAAACTTTTTGTACAGTGGTGGCGATAAAGAAAGTAAATATAAGGATTTAGACTTAAATCCTTATAAAATCAGAGGATGAAACGGTAAAAAGGTTTTCCTTTTGTCATATATATATATATATATATATATATAAAATTCTACAAAATCTATATAATTATAAAAAAATTCATACACGTGTACAACTAAGAAAAATGTATGCGTTTTCAATTCCTATGTCAGTATGAAATTTTCTCTGATCAAGCTTTTGAGAATTGTGATGGTTAAATGAGAATATTAAATGTCACCTTGCATCTTTAGCTCTAGACAGTTGAAATATCGATGACACTTAATGAGGAATGAGGGCTTTGAAATTTTCACAGAACAGATTGCCTTCAAGAGAGACAGAAGTATACAATGCATAACCTACCCAGCGAGTTTGGGAGATCAGATGGCAGAACAATGTTCAGGTTTGAAAACATTAATACAAAATATATGTGTCCCCACAAAATCGGCATCATTTAAAATGCGAATAACTGACTAACTTCATGTATCAGACAAATGAAATTAAAAACGCTTCATATTGTACAATATATGTCAAAACCTGAACAATATATTCAAAGGGATGTAGTTTTTTTTATAACTGATTTCACAAAGCTTTACAAACGTTCAATATGCGTACCACCTGTGACACGACACCAGTCAGGTCGGTAGTCCAGATCCTGACAAACACGCTGTAGCATGTAGCATGTAACATTCTCCAGTGCCTCAGATATTGTTTGTTTCAGTTCCTCTAGGCTTGTTTGAAGAAGGGGAATATACACCTCTTCTTTTCACATAGAAAAAAATAAGGTGTCAAATCAGATGAAAGCGGTGCCCATTTCAACAGTATATTGCCATTATCACTGGCACAATCGATCCAAACTCCTGGTAGGTTCTCATGTAAACAAACTAGTGAACAATTTGTCCATCCAAATAAAAAAAAACCCAAAAAAAACCCTTCGGCCTGAAAAGATGAATATTTAAATATACAGTGTAACCCGGATGTAAGAGAGTTGTCGGGACCGGAGAAGTCTCTTATATCCGGGTTTCTCTTATATCCGAGTTTGGTCTATTTTGTTTAGGTAAGTATGGACTCTAATTTGGGACCAGAGAAAATCTCTTATATTCGGGTTTCTCTTATATACGGGTCTCTTATATCCGGGTTACACTGTATTCATGATATAAATTATAACTCAAATGTTTTCAAAATTCGAGCAAGAATTGGCAATGCTATTAGACTATAAAATGGTGACTTTTCTTTCTTTTTTTTTGATACCTGTATTATAAACTACTAAGGACAGGAAATTAAAGAAAGCCATGATCGCCAACGCCATGAAGTGATACATAGCATGGAAAAAGTTTGTTCTCAAATAAATGACGCATATTTCATACATTGAATGACGTGTTAATGGCAATGACGAGAAATTGATATGAGTTCATATACCCTCGCGTACGTGCGTGCTAGTTCGAATATAAAGGGTGACGAGGGTGAATTTCGTTTTTATTTATCTTCGCATGAGCGACTCATTTTGTGCAACATTCTAGCGTGTATTCCTAATTAAATAACTAAATATTAAGCTACATCGAAGAGAGCGGGCAGAGAGAGACTTGCAAACGAAATATTCATACAGAGCTTACAGCAACAGTAAAACGTACATTGATAATTGTGTTAGTGTCAGTTTTTCCTGTACGTGGGATGCAAGTAAATTGGTAATGAACTCAATTTGATGCGAAGAGAAATATGTATATATTCTGATGACGTATTGAAAGTTTTACTAGTAAGTAATAACAATGACTGGCGGATTATGTACGTTAATAGCCTAAAGCTATAATGTTGCCTTCGAGAAGAACAGAATTGTATATTTGACCAAATGCATTACACTTACATTATGCCTTCTTGACATGACCGTGTTGGAAGCTTAGTTTATATAGAAATGACTTTCTAGTAAACTATATATATATATATATATATATATATATATATATATATATATATATATATATAATATTCAAATGACTACAACAATGGACACTACTTTCTTTCAGCCTTCTCTTTCTCCTTTACTTAATTTAAAATATACATTAATTTCGCCCCTACTGTATCGTAATGTATAACTTAACTATATGTTCAATCGTACTCCGGTTTCCATTCAGAGAAGTATTCTCTCTCTCTCTGTTTTTCTCTTTCTTCCGCTCTCATTTTCTCTTATATTTATAAGAGAGTGAAGCTTATATTTTATATAATAAAGAAACAATTTATTCAAATAATTAAATAGCAATGTTAATATGAGTAATGGCGAAATCATTTCCCTAAAAGGATTTGATGAGACATTAACTATCAATTTCTTGAATAATAAGATCCTTATATTCGAGTCGTTGTGAGATGGAAGACATATGCGAAGTACTTTTGACAACACATCTAGCGAGTTTTACAGCTTTTCTGTGTTGTCCTAAAATAAATAATATTCCGATTAAGATGTCAAATTTAAACTTTGCTGGTAAAGTTTTGCTCGCTGATGTAAACCTGCCAGTAATCTCCACGAGATTTCGGTCAGATTATTGTCGAGAAATATTATTTAGAGTCATTCTATTCAGATATTTTTCTTCATCTGTGTTTCTGAATGTAGTCGACTGATCCTTGAAACATACTTATACGTATTTCATGAAAAAAATATCAGTGTGTCACTTATCGTCATTTTTTAAACCATTTAGATCTCGCCACTACACGAAATATTGATGGTTGCTACAGACAGTTAACATGCACGTTTGCCGATATGTACACGGAAATATTTCGTGAACAGAAAGTTTGAACAACTGATTTTTCAGTATTTTATTTTAAGTTTAATTCGTGTTTTCGAGTATCATCTTTCAATGCTACTTTGATAACAAAACATGAAAGTAAACCTGAGTATCAAAGTTTAAATTTAACATAACTTATGGAAGTTATTTTCCTTAATACAGTCCAGATGTTGGAGAGACAAATCAGCAATTTGTCCTTGTCTGACTTACGTCGGAGTTGTCTTCAAATAAGTCTAAAGCTATAATGTTGCCTTCGCGAAGAACAGAATTGTATATATGACCAAATGCATTACACTTATATTATGATATCGTGAACAGATGCCTTGTTGAGATGACAGTGTTGGAAGCTTAGTTTATATAGAAATACCTTTCTAATAAACATCAACATATATATGTATATATATATAATATTGAAATGGCTACAACAATGGACACTGCTTTCTTTCAGCCTTCTCTTTCTCTTT